AATTTCATTAAAAACATTACGCATGATTTCTAATGCTTCCTAGTATTGTAATCTGAGCCCCCTTTCCCCCTCTTTCTTTTTTACTTCTAAGACCTAGTGTGCATTAGACGACAGACAAGATGTCTGACAACACCATCCTACAGCAATAGCAGTCTTCATGAAAGTCTCAACGAAAATGGGCTTTGATTATGACAGATATCGTGTACTTGTAACATTTAAACGTTACGCTCATTTCTGAATCGGAGACATGGTGTATTGAATAAGGAAAGGAAGCAAAACATTCAACGCGTGGCAATATGTTTTAGGACAAAAACATCGTATTTTCAGATCATCATTAAAAATAGATGCAAGTGCTGTTGATTCGTTGGCAGTATTTCAATGGAGGTGGCGTTTTGTAACGGTTAATAAGTACGGTACCCGACTGGGGGAAGTAACCCTATTGGAGAAGAGTCAGGAAAATCCCCCCCGCCCCTAAAAAGCAAACTCCGGTCGTATTTCAGCCGTTGTCAATCAACTGGCTCACTCACAGGCCATAGCCACTTGAACAGAACAAGTGAGGTTCAAGGACGTTTTAGAATACGGATGTGTTGGGTTTAAATTGACACATATATTAACAAACAACATCAGAAAGAAAACCCAGAATCAAAACACACATCACAAGGAAAGACCAACAAAACAAAACAAAATTATATATACAAAAAGCAGCCCCCCCTCCCCCCCCACACACACACCCCACCCCTTTCCACCACCCTTGAAAGAAAAAACCCCAAACCAAAACAAACCAAACAAAAAGTCTAAACAAAATAAAATCAAAACCAAGTAGAAACGACAAAACGCCATCAAGTCCAAAACAAACACCAACATCACACAACAATGGACAATGGACAAAGTACGTCATTCGGGCCCTGCCCCAGAACCAATCGCTGTGCGCAGATTACCTGGTCCTGAGCCCGCCCCTCCTTTCCCTCTGGTCCACTGATGGTGATGGTGGGCGTGGCTAGTCCCGAGGCGAACGGCTGCTGCCCCGCCCCTGTGGGAGGAGCAAAGTTGGCCGCTGAACCTGGCCACACCGTGCCGTGATCCACGAAATCTGGGCGGGACGGAACTATAGAAAGAGAGAGAAAGACAGAGTTAAATAGACTGATGTGGAGAGACAAGATGCCAACAACAGATCTATCAACAAAGAAGTACAAAAAGAGACAGGCAATGACACGCCTACATGCATGTATGTTATACAGAAAAACAAGATAGACAGAAGGGCGGGTGACCCAGTGGGGAGAACGACAGATCGAAGACAAGAAGAGAAGACAATATGCAGCAGCCAAGTAGGAAAAAATTACCAGACCCATTCAAATACAAAATGCATGTGCATACACACATAGCAAAGAGACAGAGGCAGAACAAGACAAAGACAGGGTAAGACAGAGAGAAAGAGACAGAAAGAGAGACAGAGAGAGAGAGA